TCAAATTAGTAAACGCCCTCTCCTCTGCTGCCAGATCCGTGCCCGGCTGTCATTGCGATGCTCGACGTGCCAACTGGCGTCTTCCTGGACACAACATTTCTCGAAGAGATTGAGCACTTCCGGAACCACGTTGCCGGAACGCAGTGCTGCCTCGTAGGCTAAGCGTTGTCCGATAGCTTCCACCATGGTTCGGCAGCGAGGAAGGATCGCCGCATTAAATTCTTCGCTTCTATGGCCGCTCGACGTAGTGGCCGCTCTCGCTGCCATCTCATCGAAAACTCCCCTCTCGTACATGGCCAGAGGACTTGTTCGATCGCCCGGCTGAGGCAGGGAGTATTTCTGTGCTAGAAGCTCCGACGCTAGGCCTGCCCCACAAGTTAGTGAGTGAAGCTTAGGGCATCATACAACCCATACGAATGCTGATGACCAGCGTATCACCCTCGGCGACTGAATTTCCCTGAAACGTAGATCCCAGCTCATTGATCTGGTTGTAGGCATACAGGCCCTGCCATCCGCATCGTTCGGCCAGCTCGACGAGCAAACGAGATGAGCGAACCACGAGTGCTTTGAAGGCGGTGGCAAGACCTCTACGGACGTCGGCGGTGGTGTCGGGGTTCGTGAATTCCCGGACGGTCCATTGGGCATAAGCATGAAGGACCTCTCCGAAGGCCAGCGCCTTGAGTATGGGGCGCTGCTGCGTGCTAAAGCTCATGATAGGCACCACTTTCCCGTGCTTTCCGGCCCCAACCTTCCTACGCTCGCTGTACACGGCCGTGATGCACGCGGCCACCTTCAAGGCGGAGACGCCCATGATGGACAATGACAATGTTCCCACGGACACTCGCCAGATCTGGTCCAGAAACTCCGCCCGCTCGTCTTCGGCTCTTGCAGACGAACCGAGCAGCGCGCTTGCAGGAAGCTGAACGTTGCTGAACGTCGTGATGGAATGGTCCAATGGTTTCGTGCCGGGTCGGACCGGCAAGACCCTTGACACGATCCCGGGACGCATCCGGGTCGAGTCGTTGATGGGAACGACAAAGGGTTTGACACCCCGGCTCTCACCCCCGACCAGAAGGCGCGCAAAAACCACTGCTGCACGAGCGATCCCAGCCAACGGGGTGGTTGGCGGCATCGCTTTGGCGGCGCCGAGGGCCGGCGTGTGCAGCACGAAAGACCCATCATCGAGCATCGTCGCCGTCGTGTCCAGGTTTCTGGCATCAAGGCCGTGCTCAATTTCTGTCAACATAAACTCACCGCAAACTTTGAACTGTCGCAGATCGTCGAGTAGAGCTGCCAAGTCGGGTCGCTCGTCTGCGAAACGGCCGATTGTCCCGATGCAGAGGTTCAAATGAATCGTTGCGATCACGAACGCGGTCATATCTCGAGCAGCGATCACTAAAGGAACTCAGCTTCGATTCATCTTTCGCGGTTGAGGTAACGTACTATCGAAGTGAAAGCGCCAGAAGTTAGGCGAGAGGTGAAGGATGTCGTGCACCGTCAAGCCTGTGGTCGATTAGATGACGCTGTTTGGGATCGTTCTCTTCATCTGCTCACCACTTCTTCGACAAAGGTCTCTCGCACGCTCATAGTGGAGTTGAACTGCTTCCCCCGTAACTTCGTGCTGGTGTTCTCTTTCCGCGTTCCACAAGTCGCTTTGGCGGTTGAGTAGTGTTGACGACATCTCCCAAGTTGTTGGGCAGTAGAATATGTGGTCTCAAAACGCAAGCTGGGGATGATTTTGTAAAGATCGTTGCTGCGATCTTCCACACTTTTGCGTTTGTGTGTGAGAGAAATCAATCCACACACTTGTTGCTATAGGTTTCGTATGTATGTACTGTATGTATACATACGTAGATACGGTGAAATCATGTCGTCAGGCACGAAATGGCTTTCCTGCCAACTTTGAGCCCGCTCTGTGCAGCATCGTTTGGCGACAAATCCGAAATTAGATTGCGTCAAAAGGATCTGCGATGGCAGAAATGGAGGTTGGCAAATCCGGAACGTCAAAATCTGATGCCTCGTCATTCTAGGTGGCAGAAAGACTCTCAGTTGAAGCGGCTCATTACTGCTCTACCACGTCGTCGTCGCAGCGTTCATAAGGAGTAACACTCTCCACGGTCACAGTGCGTCTCCGACATCGCTACCACTCCATTCACCGTGCTTTGGACACCCTCACTTTACATCACACAGGTCATCTTCCAATCTATCAAGCAGGACCAGCGAGATGGAACTACGGGATGCTACCGCATCTTCTCGTGAGTCGCGATGGATTAGCGAAGAGGAGGATATTTACCCATTCCAAACCGCCTTCGATGCTAGTCATGACATCGGCAACGTATGCCAATCCAATTGCCAAGCCGTCTGCATCGGAACCCCTTACGACTGGGATGGCAATCTACATCTAGGAGTCTGTCCTGGGAAGGACGTATTCCCTATTCCGCTCGATTCAGGCACAAGCTTCAACGGCGTGGGCATGTCAATCAACACGTCGCAAGCTTCGGCTCAAAGCGAGGTCAGCAGGACACAAAGGAAAGAAACGTACGCGGATCTGATTTACAAGGCCCTCCTCGGCCAAGGGGCACACCAGATGACGTTGAAAGACCTCTATCAGTGGTTCATCGATAACACCGAAAAGCCAAAGGAACGGCAAAGAGGCTGGAAGAATAGCGTCCGCTCTAACCTCAGCCTGAACCAGGTAAGTTCTTATGTCTGCAGCTTGCAAGGATCTCCTCCAGTCTCTTTTCCCATTTTCCTAAAGAGAAACAAGTTTCAACGTCTGAGCACTTTCGTATAGGCAACAATGACTGACGTTCGGGCAGGCATTTCAACGACTTGAAGGCAAAACGTCTCGCTGGAGTCTCGCAACTTGTTCCGCAGAGGGCATCCGACCAACGCACCAGTACCGAAACTGCCAGAGAAGTAGAGTCTTTACCAAACCCACCAAGAAATACCGAATGGTGCTGCTCCCTAGACCTCTGATCCCAAGGACTCGGAAGGCCCGACGCAAGGTTCTCAGACGTCCCCCAAGCCATGTCGGTCCCCAATTTTCGGATAGTCCCTGGCTCTACCCATGCCACGAGCATTCCGTGCCCCAGTACATCCAAGACTTCAAGCTGCAGGGTTCTATGGACACCATTCAGGCTTCCTATTCCATGATGTGGAATGTAGCATGGCCGTTTGGAAATACCGAACCCGAGTCAGTGTGGGTGGATTTGAAGACGCATCTGCCTTGGTGCTGTAGGTTGCCTGATACCCTTGGGTTGTGGTAGACTCGACTCCTCAATGCAAGAAAGACCCTCAACTCTTTGCTGCCCTGCATCGAAGACCATTCTACCGCATTCGCCCTCAGTTGTACGAATTCCATCGCTTGATAATACGGGCTGATCATACTCTTCCGCTTGCGGGCTATAATCAAGAACCCGTATACGTTGAGCAGTAGGCAGTTTGCTGCTGACTTGAGTGCCTCAAGGCAAAGGTAGAGCCCTGTACTATGAAAGTTCCTAATCTTCTGAGTGGAATTATCCTGTCTTGCCAGCCAGAGAGACAACGTTCAGCTTCTGGGAGACCGGCAAACGATGTCACTTATGGACACCATGGCTTTGGCTGAAAGGCCAAGCGATATGATCAAGACGCGCGTGCTATCTGGCGTCACTCACGGCTCAATTGAGATATATGGAGAGCTGCGGAAGCAAGATTTTAGTTCAGAAATTCCAAGTTAAATTATAGTCACATGAAAGTCTAGCTAGGTACTTCGTTGGAAGGACAACTCAACCTATCCAGTGTTGATTGGATCAACAGAGAAACAATAGTTTTCACAGTATCCTGTTCAAGATAATTGAGAGATACCGGAGGTGCCATCAGGTGATTCCATCATGCCCAAAATGATTCTCTTTACCTTTTCACTATCATCGCCAAGCAACTCGCCGGCTCCATCCTCTTCAAGACCTTTCAGAGCGGAGACGTTGGTACGATACACGAACTCTTTGATAGCTTGTAGGAAGTCCTCGCGCACCTTCTTTCGCATTCGATCATTTCTAGCCTGCTGTTGCATCTTAGCCACGATCCCAACGCAGTTGGAACTTTCGTGGTACTTAATCAGGGAGTTGATCGACTCGCCGGTTAGCTTGAAGACCACCTCGTTTTGCTCCCTCATGTCGACGCGAATGACGGATGCCTTGATGTGGATAAGTTGGAAGTCGGATATTTGGTTGGCGCTTTGGTGCAGCTCTGTCTCTGAAGGCTTGGGCACCATGATGCATGCAAGATACCAAATGCTCTGCGGAGTCGAGAGCGTTTTGATCAGACATATTTGGTGATGGAGGACGCTGTCGAGCGGTTCCGTTTGTTCGCGGAAGCCCCGAAGTGTCTGAGTGCCCCACGGCTGGACCGTGGGGCCAACATCAACGACAAGTGCAGACGCTCTGGAGATGCAGTTCGCCATCGGTGTAGGTCTGAGACCATGCTCCATACTTGCAGCCAGGGAATCTGGAGGAAATTTCGACGTTAGATGAGAGGATAGAGAAGCTCAGGATAGGGTTTTTGGGGTGGATGGAATAGGAGAAGTTGCGGCGTCAGAAGGGCTTTGTACCGAACATATGTCTCGGCAGCAAGACTCCACAGTTGAATCTCTGTTCTTTGTGGTACTTGCTGGTCTTCGGATATGTTTCGGCGTTCATTAGGCTGAGGATTCAAATTCTAAGATCTCGACAGAAGGTGCAGAAAAAAGGGGATGGGATGAAGAGGCAGTGGCTTTATACGCCAAAAGCCAGCTGCTTGCCATTACTTCTTATCGTCAAATTGTGCCAGGTCTACCAAGAGAATGGGTCTGTACATGAGCCATCTGGTCTTAGCCCTTGTATCATCGCAGTAGGTCGCGGGGGGCAATTTGAGTGGAGAGAGTGGATTCGTCTCCACGCGTTGGCAGATGCGAGCCAAAATGCACATCAAAATTAGCTCGAAAGGAACATGGCACACGGTGGTCCAGTTGATTACGTCCTGAAGTCATCGTATGAGTTCAGCTACGCGGTATGAAGAGGAGAGTCTGGACTGGTTCTGGTGCGTAGAATCAAGCCTGGCCGTGCCTGAAGATGTTCAGACCACCAAATAAGCCTGCTGCGAAAACCAACGCCTTAGCTAGCGCAAATGATCGTTCACGAAATGTAGAGACAGCTCAATAAAAACCCTGTTGCTGTCCGTTTCATAGGTACGAATTCAAGAAACAAGAAATCGGAGGTGCATTATAGAAGGGCACGTACCTTTCTAGGTCGTGGGGCATCGTAGCTCGTATGTCGAATTAAGACATTCTGGGCCAACTCCGTCTTTAAACGAGGTCGAGGCTCTCCAACTTGCGTGGCTGGCCCGACAAAGTCTCCTAGTTGTACCTAAAGGCTGCATCGAAACGTAACGCCGCGGTAAACCACAAATCAGCCACGATATGGAAGGTTCTTGACTGAAAAAGGGTCGTTTTATCTTGGGCCACGGATCTTTTAGTAACTGCAGCAACAACGCTATGTATGCATTCCATTGTAAGATAAATGCACTCGGCACAAACTACAGCAGAGCTTCGGGAAATAACCGCTCCCGGATCCAACCTCTGAGAACCCCGCCAGACCTCGAGGTATGGCCAAGCCGCAATCCGCTTGTGGGCGCCATACTCTCTGGAGATATTGCGCGAGTTCGACTGCTTGCTCAGCAAGGGCACATAGTTACGGAATCAGATGGCTGGGCTCTATACGACGCCTGCATTTGAGGGACGGACATGATACAGGCGCTCTTGTTGAATCCAGACATCGATTCCAATTTGGAACTTCCGGGAAACAATGGGAGAACTCTGCACCATCTACTCCGCACTCCGGCCGCCCAGTTTCAAGGTAGCAAGGTGAACGTCATACAGCTTCTCCTCCTTACTGGCGTGGATCCTTTCCAGCGCGATAATCTCGGCGATACTGCCTTGCACCTACTTGCCGGACCAGTGCACTGTGATAACCCGTCAGATAGAATCACAACAGCGCGAGTTCAAACTCGAAACCGAGTCTTTGGATATCTTGAGATACTTACTGCGTAGAATGCATACGTATGTAAGGCGTGCCACTGACGATAAGCCTCTGGACAGTGTGAACAACTATGGCAACACTGCTTTTGTTGTGTCAGTATTGTATGGTAACACTGAGGCTTCCAAGCTTCTATTAGAGAGTGGGGCAAGGAGGGACATCACGGGAGAGTTAGAATCACTGTCGCCGGGTGCCAACCTTGAAAGTCATGAGCCCAAAATGACAATCTCGAATCGTTACGGCATTGTAGGTGATCTCTCGGATGTGGAACAATATATGTAGCTCGTGCTTAGCCTCAAATTCATATATCTTATTGCTCCTCTATCTCATCACAAAATACTCTTCCCCGTATGCATGCCTTTCTGGCTTATGTGACTCCGTGTGTGACAGTATCTGCCTCACGAGTAGAAGAACCAGCTCCTTGCGTCTGTTTCCCCAAATCCTCCCTGTCTCAAAGAACAGAACTCGACTCTCTGCTCAATCGCGTCTCTCATGTCCCAACCTACCATAGAACAAGCGAGGGTCTCCTCAACAAACCGCTCCAATTTCGCAACGCATTTCTCTAGCCTCTCTGAAGGCGTAGAATCAGGCAGCTCTGACGACGTTTGTTGCGCAAAATTCTGAGTCTCCATCAAATTATCCGCAATGTCCTGCAGATCGCTTTTGATTGACACGATCTTCGTCAAGTGCTGGCTGAGACAAAAACGTCTTCGTACTAACGAATTGGCTTGCTTCTCGATATGGTTCTGCTGGAGAACACGGAGCTCCCGCAGATACAGTATTTTTTCTTGTAGTTTCAGGATTGTTTGATATTGCCGATAAGCGTGGTCCTGCTGCGCGAAGACTACAGCTTCCAGTTGCTGAATACTTTTGCCCTGTGACTCGATCGTCTTTCTGTACATAAAAATTGTTCGGGGGACAGTATATTTCTTGATGGAGGGAAGCTCGGGAACGGTATCGGTATCCGACATGTTGCGTTTATAATAAAATATAAGTTGTAATTAGAAGACGTGTAGTCAACGAGATTTCAGGGAGATCTTGTGAGGGGAATGGGGCATTTATAGTAGAGCAGCAGCTAGGAGCCAGATGAGGAACAGAGCTTCACGACAGGTATAGTTTCAAGTTGATTTGTGGTTGTCAGGCCGAGGAGCACTATCTAACGTTCCATAACTCTTATGAGAATCTTCGCTACGTACAGGGCCTCGAATGATGAGCATTAGCATGCATGAGCATTCGGACCACCATCCCTAGGCTGGTCCGGTAGGAGGAGCTGATCGAGGATTGACCTAATGAGCAGACCCTCGCTCACCCTCTCTCGGCGACTTGGCCAAGGGTTTGAAGTCGTAACGCCGCCTAGCTTTCTTCATCGTCGGCACCTGCTTCGTTTGGTTCGCTGCCATTCTCAGTCCTCAAGCCTGCAGATCGCTCCGCAGATTGGAGAACCGGTCCCTGTCCCCTAGAACAAGACGCAAGCGACGATCCCCGGAGTATTGTGTTGACAGAGTCTTTGAACTTTCTGTTGGTGCATGCCCACTCATGAGCTACCTCAGGACGACCATCAGCGATTATGAAGCATGAGTAGCAGTTGATGTATGGGCGCGGAAGAGCTCCAGATTGGTTGATAAAAGGGGAACGAGTGGGCACCGTCGCCAAGCTGCGCGAGGACGTTTCGGCCCTGACTGAAGCTTACTTGATTGCAGACACGGCTCTCGTCAAGCTGGCCTGTTGGCTTCTTTTGCTCTACAATGTACGCTATAGAGGTATCCTGCTGAAAGGCCTCGTCCGATTGCTGTTGGTCAAACATGAGTGATATTCAAGCACGCTGCCAGAAATGAAAGTCCAACTACTGCCACATAGCGTAGCGCTTTAGCTGCTTCCTTGAATGGACCCAGATAAGCACGTCATGTGAGTGACACACTTTCTAAATCGACGGCCAATAACATTTGCGAATATGACAGACAACGTGAGGATCCCATCGTTGTTTCCGGATTACTGGCTATTATCACACGCCTCGAACGGTGGCGAACAACAGGCTCTCGGCACTGGCAGACACTGACATCTCTGAAAATGTCAAGCTGCCCATGGATACGTCCACCTTCCCACGCCCTATGGCTGCGCTGGCCGCGTAGGTATTAGACTTGCCTTGCAGAGTGGTGGTTATCGCGAGGCAGGGCTCAAACCGAGGAGACCCATACATCTTCGGCCGCCTGGGCTCGGCCAAGGCCCCTTGATCGGCCGTTCATGCGGCTGTCCTGCGGGGTTGGGCCGACAAGAATGCGTGCGCGCTTGGGGAAGGCGCCAATTAGGTTTGCGGCAAGAATGCTTTCCGCAAACTATCCAATTATATGCTCTGTTTAAAGCAGGAGAAAGGAAGGGGCAGGTGAACTGTTGATAGCAACCCTGAGGCGGAAGTTCTGGTGCGGGGCCGGGCTGGAGCATCTGATCATGGTCCGATATTTCGATCTCAGCAGGGATGAACCTAGGCGTGAACGAATCTCTGCAGGGTTTTGGGGAGCACTACCAACGTGAATATGTATCCGTACTTAGCGACAAGCCTCGCTGGCCGGGAGTCTGCGCTCGAGATGAGGCCGCTCCAGCCGGAATCCCTACGTCTCTGCATGGAGGCCACAGCTTGCAGGTGGACGGCGGAGACGTGGTTTGTACACAACTTGAAGAGGCACACAGGCGTGACTCTGTTCGCAAGACGAAGTCTGCTGCGGCCCACCTTGCTCCTGTTCCGTGCACCGACAAGGATGAAAGAGCACACCCACAGGATCTTTGGGACGAATTGAGGTGCAGGGGCGCAGGCACACGCCTCCCTGGTCCTGAAGCTAGCTACAAGCATGGGTAGGTACTCCGTACTGCATGGATACTTCACCCAACTGGAGGGGCGTGCCTGAGTTACATTTTAATCATGGAAGTGACTTTGATTCGTGTCGTAGCCAGCCTGGCCAACTTCCCTCTCGCCTAATTTTTCTTGGCATCTGCTGTTAGTGAATGAGTGAGCCTACCACCAAATTACTAACAGCCGAAAACTCTTCACCTCCCCTTGCCGGAGCCCGCATCCGCGATGGCCTCACAGCCGCCGTCGGGCACCGGACTGATGTCGGCCGACCAAGCCGACCCCGAACCAGGCTCCGGGACACCTCCGGAGCCGAACCCCACCTCAAGAGCTAAGCGACGCCGCGACGCCGAGGCACAGCCGACCCGGCCCAGCCTAACGGGAAGCCAGCTTGATGCCACCACCGACGCCCCTACCTCGGCCGAGGGGCCCGCAGCCTCTACCGCATCTGCTCCGAGCGGATCTGCCACAGGGTCCGTCTTGACAGCCCTTGCAGAAGAAGCTAGACAGTACGAGGCACGGAAAGACGTCTTTCTGACCATTGCACGGTCCGTCGACAGCGTTGTCGCCAGCTTTGACGGTTCTAGAAAGCAGATCGCGAAAGAAGCCACTGCCTATGTCATTCAAACCCTCAAGAGACTGATCAATCACGAGACAAGCCCAATAGCGGCCCGGAGTTGGGCGGCTGTCGTCGCACCGATGGCGGGCAACACCACTGCGGCGACCCGGAGCGGCCAGAGCTGCCAGAGCTCTGCCCGCCCGAAGGCCACACTCCCCGCCGAGGATCAGCCGCAGGCGCAGCCGAAGGAGGACCTCCGCATCTTTGCCCGCGTCCCGGAAGAAAGCTTAGCGGCCGCTCGGAAGATCGCACCGTTCGCCGTACGACAGATCGTCTGTAAGGCCGTTGGCCTGGGGCTAGCGGACCTTCCCCACGTCTACCATATCAGCACAGGTTACTCTCTGAAGCCGCGAAACAAGCAAATACAGGAAAGACTACTTGCAAGTAAGGCAAAGCTGGCGGAATGCCTCGGCGCCCACCAGGTCGAGACGCCTATCAAGTGGTACACTTACGTTGTGCCGCGATGCCCAACAAAACTACACAGCATTGGCGGGGACGTCCTGGACCCAGCCACACTCGTTGAAGATGAGGTCTTCGCACAGACAGGACAGAAGCCTGTCCTTGCTCGACCGTCCCGCCTTGGGCCCAACCCAGTCACGAACGAAATATCTTGGCTCATATCATTCACATCAGAGGTCACGCCCTTCAGGCTCTTCAACCAAAGCGGCAGATCTCTGCCCGTCAAGAAACGAAGGACGCTCATCCGACACGACCCCGGCTGCCAGGGCTACCACTCCAACCGGTTCTGCGGACGACGACCGATCTGCAGCAACTGCGGAAGACCTTCCGATTCACACGAAACGGGACCCTGCATGGCCAGGCCCCAATGTGCCAACTGCTGCGGCCCCTTCCAAGCCAGCCACACAGACTGCCCAGCGAGGCCCTCGGCCGTAAACGGCGTCGTCTCCCTTCCCGGTCGAAAGGAGCGGGCTCGGATCCGGAAGGCCGGCCAGAAAGCATCGGACACTCTGTACAAGGCTACTCGATCCGACAGTAGCCAGGAGGCGGCAGGCGTCCCTACCTCCACCAGCCAGAACCAGCAACCCGGCGCCAAGCGCGCGCGCACGAGAACGCCCTCCGCAAGCTCGATCGTTTGCCTCGGTGACGGAAGCACTGACAGCAGCAGCATGGATGAAGACGAGGCGGACGAAGGCGAAGGCGAAGACTCCCCCGACAACACCTCCATCGACCGTCCCGTGCTACCCATGCCAAGCAGGAGCCAACGGGCAGCACAGAAGCCAAACTACAACGTCGCGAATGCCTACACCCACCTCGAACTCGACTCGGAGACGTAAGCCGAGAGCGGCGACCCCACGGATGCTACGCGTTGCGCAGGGCAACGTCGGAAAGATCTCCCCGGCGCACACGGCTTTCCTGCAGCTCTGCTGGGAGGCTCAGATAGATGTGGTCCTCGTCCAGGAACCCTGGACGGGCTGGAAGGACGGAAACGTGCAACTGAACACGCACCCGGGTTTCGACTCTTTCGTCCCGGTCGACTTCTGGGACAGCGAAGGAACCAGACCAAGAGTATTGACCTACACACGCAAAGGGATAGGGATGACGGTGGAGCAGCAGAGGCCTGTCCACACGAGAGACGTACTGTGGCTGGTGGTCGACAAAACGACGACTATCGTCAACGTGTACAGACAACCCCGCGACCCCCACAGCCGCACAACAGGGATACTGCTAGAACTCAAACCCCCGGAGCGAGCTTTGATCGCGGGTGACTTCAACGCGCATCACTACTCTTGGGAGCCCGGGACGAGGAACGGGAACCGGGGAGATGACATCGCAGGCTGGGCAGACGGCCACAATCTCTCTCTTATCAGCGAAGTTGGGGTGGCAACCCAGGATTGCGGACATGTCCTGGACCTGGCTTTCTCTAATATCCCTTTTGCGCACGCGCAGGTCAGCCCACAGCTACACCCGGGAGCTGACCACGAGGCCATCGTGGCCGTCATACCACTACTCAAACGCCCAGTGTCACAGGGAGAGGGCCACCCGCAGCCACGGCCACTGTCAGTGCCCGACTCGGCGCTGCCTCGGCTGAGAGACCTGATCGAAGGGGGGCTAGCTGCGATGCCCAATCTGGGGGATCAACCTACTCCGGAAGACCTGGACGGGCAGGCAAGTCACATCGTCGAGCTCTTCTCCCGAGCCATTGAGGCGGTCGGCAAGAAGAGAGGAAAACATGGTAAAGGCGCGGCTTGGTGGACGGAGGAATGCGCAGAGGCCCACAGAGCATACCGTGCTGCCCGCAACCAACAAGCCTGGGAGACGGAGCAAGATGCGCACCTTTATCTAATGGAGAAACGAAAGGCGTTCCTGAGCACGGTGAGGAAGGCTAAGCGAGCATACTGGGCCGGAAAGATCGATGGAGTCGCTTCAGACCGGGACCTGTACCAGATCATGGGTTGGCGGAAGGCGAGCCTACTGACCAGAGCACCCCCATTGGTTGTGGACAACCAGACGATCGAGGATACTAACGAAAAGGCTCAAGCGCTTCGGGGAGCCCTTCTCGACAGGTTTAGTGCGGAAGATGACGCACCGGGTGACCCGTTTGACGTACCCGTCGTCCCGAGGCGAGCGATTACTTGGCAGGACAATGTTAGCGGAGAAGAAGTGAAGACGGCCACCTTAACAAAGACAACGACCCCTGGTGTGGACGGCATCACAACACGCCTCCTCCAGGCATGCTGGGATGTCATCTCGGAACCGGTCAGGCAGCTATTCCAGTCCTGTATGCGGGCCGGCCACTTTCCTCTGCCCTTCCGCAGAGCTGAGGTGGTCATGATCCAGAAGGCCGGCAGGGATGCCTCCAAGCCCGGGTCCTGGCGGCCGATCGCGCTCCTCTCGTGCCTGGGCAAGGGACTAGAGCGACTGATAGCCAGAAGGATGGCGTCCCTGGCGATTGTCGAGCGCATCATCAGTCCGCAACAGATCGGGGCTCTACAAGGCAGGTCAGCCGTCGATCTGACGACCTGCCTCACCCACGACATCGAGATGGCCCTCCTAAAAGGACTCACGGCGACACTTCTGACTATGGACGTAAAAGGGGCGTTCGACTCCGTCCTTCGGAACCGGCTCGTCATTAAGACTGCGTCAGCAGGGGGATGGCCACATGGCCTGACAGACTGATCT